GGAGGGAGGGGAAGGGAAGAGGAAGTAAAAAAAGATTAAGATATGAAATGTATATGTAGCAGTTTCCCAATGAATGTATTTATTATGTATCTCAAACATATGCTAATAAAAGGGGGGCAGAGGAAAGGTCCGCAACACGCTACCCTACGTGGCAATTCTGTACTTTTAGGGGACAAGTACCCGGAATAGCCAAGCCCGAGAAACTAGGGAAAAAAGCCTTGCTGAGGGTTAGGGTGGGAATGAGGAAGGTTTCGGAGGTCGGACAGTTCTTCCACACCAGTTGGGGACAGAGTGATGGAGGGAACAGAACAAGGTGTCAGAAAGGTCATGAAGACAGTCAGGGGCAGTGACTGGCAGGAGGGGGACGGCACTCACCAGGAGATCTGAAAAAAATCAAGTCACTGGGGAAAGGGGAAGCAGAGTAAAATATCCCAGGCAAGTCACTGAAAGAGGGTAAAAAACACTTAGAAAGAAAGACAAATTCCCCATTTCCCTTAGCTTCAGAATAAGATTGTGGATTGCCTATTTTTTCCCTATTTCAAATGAAAGGCCTCTGGCATTGCTTCTGCCCCCTGCTGGGTACAGACTGGGGAGGGCACCCTCCGCAGAGTTAGCCTCTATCTTGTCTGCTCTGAGTTCATCCCGCCCACGGTATTCAAATATGAATCATCTCTAATTTCAGGGTTTGGCTGCTCCATGCCCCCCCCCCCCGGCCTCTTAGTGCCTTGTCTTGCCACCCTCACTGCTTCTGATTCCTTAATTTGCCTCTACTTCTCAATTTTCATCTCTAGGGGAATTAGGCCTGGGGCCTCTTATTACTGCCTCCCTGAAGTCAGCCAGGCATCCGGGGAGGGGTCTGAGGCAGAGGTGCTTTCCAGACCCCCCTGAGTCTGCCCAAGAGAAGCACCCTGGGCATTTGCAGGGAGAGAGGGAAGGAGAACATATGGCCCTCTCTAGAGGGCTAACAGCTTCTGTGAAATGGAATCGTCTCTGTGGAGTAGCCACGGAAATCTAGCTCTCAGTTTATAGAAATGGAAGCCCGGAGGAGCAGTATGCGTGTAGCACCCTGGTGAATGGGGGTAGGTCCCAGTTCTCCCGAACCCTGGGCCAGTCCTACTTGCACGCTCCCTCCCGATATGCCTTGCTGGGTTTTTGGTGGGAGGGTGTCTGGTTTCATTTATTTTTGTTTGGAAGAGGTGATGTTTTCTGTGTGCCTTCTGCCATCTGCACCTATAAGCAGGCAACAGGTTAGTGATCAAGGCCTCCTCGGCTGTCAGATGTCCAGGGTTCCTTTGCCCTGCAATGAGGCCGACTTTTGCGATGCCATCAACCACCGCCCCCATCCTCGAATCGCATCACTGCTGTCAGAGGTGCCTATGGACAGGCTGCTTCTCAGCCTGAGCAAAGTAGAGGAGCTAACAATGGTGGCTGGGGAGGGGGCTAGAGGAGAGAGCAACAGTCAAGGGTGAGATGAATTCAGGCTCATTCTTCACAGAGAAACCATCCAAGGAAAGGTAAGCAATTTCAGTCTAGTCCAATAAATGAATGCTTTTGAGGGGGTGGTAGAATGGGAGGGGGAAAGGAAAAGACAGATTAAAAATGAGACAGAGCCCCCCCCGCAAAGTCACATTCATTCTCTCCCTCCCTTTTTTCCCTTTCTCTCCCTCCCTCCCAGGTAACTCTCCCTCTCACCGCCCCCTCCCCCCGCTTTGCTTCTCTTTCTACGCAGGCTGAGCAATTTCTAATCAACACTTCAGTTTTTTTCCTCGGGCTCCAGCAGCTCCTTCCTTGTCTTTCATTGCTAAAATTTTGTATTTCTTCCGGGTATATATTTAGCCTTGTGATTTCTTATTGTCATTGTGATGCTGCTTCCTGCAATAGATTGGTTTTGTTGTTGCTGTTTTGAACAGAACAAAATGCTTATCAACTGCTATTTTAGCAACAGGTGCCATGTAGCCCTAAGACCTGAAGGAGGGCTCACTGAGTCTTTGTCCCTGAACACAGTAGCATTTCATCTTTTTCTGGTGGCAGGGGCTGAGGGAAATGCCAGAGTTGTATCGTTGCTCGGGATCCCACTCCGATGTGTTTTCAGGGAGAGTGTTAGGGCATCTCTGTAATAAAGATTGCTTGCTTGGTCCATGGAAGCATGGAAGCGTGGAAGCATGTATCATATTCCTGTGATTTCTAAGCATCAACCACCAAAGACATACTAGTCTTTGCTCTCAAAGAGTGGTCAGTCTAGTCAGTGACTTGAGAAAGTGTGCAAGTAATTTTGTCTTGGTTCCTGATGGTCCCATGATGACTGCCACATCAGTGCTACAGAGTTTGGAGGAGGTGCACCCAACCCAAACCAGTTCTGAAACCCATTCTCAGAAGAGGTGGTGGCTAAGTTTAGAGATTTCTTCATGCATTGTCAGTCAATGGGTCACTACCATGTCTTGGGCATTGTGGTAGGGTTGATAAGATCCACAAGACACAGACACTGCCTTCCAGGAGCCATTCTGGTGGTAGAGATACCAGTTATGGAATTGTGGACATATAGTTATGGAGTAGTAGCATTGTCCAATAATACTAACAGAGATCTGCACCAAGTATTGTGGGGTGCTTTGAAGGGGCTTCTAACCCAGCCTTCAGGGGAAAGGTAGGTATGGGGGAGTGGTTGTTACCTGGGCTGGTTTGTGTTCAGGTAGCTGCATGGTGACTGTGTGAGGACAGACTTGGGTATAGAGAGTTGGAGTGTCATGCATCCTGGAGAAGGAAGACTCACTCTTAGAGACTGCTGACACCTCAGCATCCATCATCTCCTTCCATCCTCTCTGTACCTTCCCAGTTCTCTCCCTCCTCTGTTCTCATTTCCTCCAAAAAGCCACCTTGTTCGTACCAGAACATCTTTCAGTACTTTTGTCACGGCCAACCTCATGCTCATCATCCCCTAGCCTGGATGTTCCGCTCTAGATTAGAAGAGGAAGCTGCTCAATATATTCATCACACTTTAAAATTTGGATACGTGGTTCTGATGGGAAGCTGGTTTATACAGACCTGAGTATTAGTACTAGTAATCTTAGTATAAGCACTACGTGAGTAGTCTTAGTGCAAGTACTTAGTGCTTGGTCTAATGTTAGTAGTATTAGTAAGAGGGCTTGGTTAGTGGAATGATTCCTGACCTGGGAGTTGAGGGCTGGATTCCAGTCCTAGATCATCCATAATTAACTGTTTAGCCATTGGAAGATTTGTATTTTGGTCTTTTATAATCTATTGACTGTAGTGATTTCTAACGTGTCTTTCAGCTCTAGGATTCTATGATGCTGAACATTTCTCCACTTAATTTTGATGAATTGGAAATTAAGGTTCAAGAGTGACAGGCCCAACTCTTCATTTTATAATTCACCCAGTGAAGAGCAATCAAGGAGTCTTTAGTTTTCTTTAGCCTTTTTATCTGAATAATGATTGGAAAGAAAGACATCAGCTGGGAGGGAGATCTGTTGTTCGAATATTCAGAACAAATGAGTAACATCCCATGCTTGGTGGACAGGATAGGGTCCATTCTGAACAATTACATGTGGTCATACTGGGGAGTGGTAAAGCAAAGTGAGCACTTTGGACCAGATTAGATGAATCTTCCTCTGACCAACCTGGGACTAGGATGGCCCTTCCAGTCTCAGATTTTGGATCCAGGACCCACTTACCTCTTCACTCCTTCCAACTATTTAGCTCTTATTCCCTTTTCTCCAATCAGAAATATAAAGAAAGGTATGATGTGGTGGTGGTTGATTTTGCTTATTTACATGTTCTAATTTGCTCTGTGTTAGATGGCTTTATATATATATATATTTATATATATATCATCCCATTTTATGAGTAAGTGGGGCTGGTATTGTCTACTTACACGTAACCTCAGAAGAAATAAGTGACTTGTCCAAGTCCATGGTATCTTAGTGATTAAAAGCATAAGATATAGTATCTCTGATTTAATTTGACTTGGATGATTTAAGTGCTGAATCTAAGACAATCTTTTTTGATGAGGGTAGGTCAAGCCAGAACTCTTGACTTAAATGAACATATATGATGTCTATTGCGGAGCCTTTGGTACTGAGGCTTCAAGACTGTAGAAGTCATGGAAATAGTGCAAGGGAAGGTGGGCAAGAATGGCTTTGTTTTCCCAAGTTAAATCCTGGGCTGTAGGGCAAAAGGGTGAAAGAGGAGGACTCCAGCAAGGCACAGGAGGGCAGAGTTACAGCTAATCCTGCTGGCTGTCTTGGACTAAGGATTGGTATGGAGTACCATGAGCCACACAGGATATAGCTATGCCATATGCCTGCTTAAAATCTCGGTTGAGATAGTTTTTGGCTCTCTGAAAATGAAAGAAGTCATTTTGGATGACTAGAGTTCTTTATGGGCCAAGAAACAAGGAAGAACTCAGAAGAACATACTGCTTCCCCTTCAGCGTCTGGAGCACTACAGGAAGCAGGAGTGTAAGTTAGGAACAGGACCCTGACATGCAGCTGGGACCCTGCACCGTCACTCCTTGCATGCCTTTGCCACTCAGGAGGTGGATGCAGAGCCTGGGTGGATGGGGACAGGGGGGTTAGGCTCAAACTGACCTGGATTTGAATGCTGGCTTAATGTTATGAAACTACATAAAACCCCTAGTACAATCCTTGACACATTGTAGAACCTCAATGTTTATTATAAACCAGAACTAGGTGTATTAGTCAGCATTTTGTTGCAGTATCCAGCAACCCTCAAATCTCAGTAGCTCACACTGGCATACACTTTGTTCTTGCTCACGTTCCTTGAGTGTTGCAGTGAGCTGTATATAGCTATGCATTGGCGAGGTTTGGTGGACTTGGCTTTGTCCCAAATGTCTTCTTATTCCAAGACCCAGCATGAAGGAGCAGCCACTATCCTGGCATGTTGTTCTCATGGTGAAGGGGAAATGCTTTGGAGATGGGAGAGGTGGAGCTGAGGACAAGGATGCAGAGCCAAACCATGTGAGTGCCTGTAAAGCTTCTGCTTGAACAGGTTTTATGGCACACCTGCTCTCATTGCATTGGGCAAACCAAGTCAGGCGACTGAGCCCATTGTCTATGGAGTATGTCAGTATGTACTGTCTGCAGGCTGAAGAGGAGACAAATAATACAATTAGTCAACTGGGTTAAAGCATTCAACAAATGAAATCCAGAGTCTTAGAAGCATGCAGAAAGGAGCTCGTTATTCGTGGAGGAGGTAGATAACAATGGAGAATGAAGTTGTATGGTTGAGTCTAGAGCTCAGGGTGAGATGTAGACAGGAAACACAGACTACAAGTTGATAAGGGCTATGGGAACTTTCTTATAAAAGTTATTTTCCTGGGCCAGGGATTTAGCTCAGTGGTTCCACCGCCGCCTCACAAGCACAAGGTTCCAAGTTCAATCACCGGTACCAAAAAAAAAAAAGTTTTTTTTCCTATACCAGTAGCTGGTGCATCCCAGAAGTCGGATTCACCCGAATGAACTGGGAGATTTCCAGTGCTTCAGCACTACAGGGTAGATGACCTCTTTTAGCTTTGGTCCCATTGGAGCACCATGTAAGCCAGCAAGACATCACCCATGAGCTCATCTCAGATCTGTGGAAGAGGAGGCAAATCGAACAGAAAGAAGACACCTCTGTGGCTTATTATCAGCACAGTTATGGCAGAGACTGGGAAAGTGTGCCTCAGTTGGACACTTAGGAAATATGCCCAATGATAGCAAGCTTTGTGTGCACAAGCACCAGAATTATTGGTAGCACATAATAACTAGCCCATGAACAAAGCCCACCTGGGCAAGGGCAGCATTGGAATTTGTCAAAGCCTTATGGGAAAAGGGTCATATTGCTCCCCTTTGGGACTCTTGGCAGTGGGGGGGGGGGCATACAAGAATGCTATCATGCTTTTAAATCTCAAAATTGTCCATCTGGGCACCCTAACTCTAACATAGATCAAGGACTCAGGTGCAGTGGTAGCAAACAGGAGAAACTGATCCTGGCCAGGAAAGGAATGAATTGAAAGGAAGGTGATTAAATCTTAGAACCAATGGGAAAGCTGGAGAGCAAGGCTCAGAAGATAGGGGGGTACCAAGGCAATGTCTGCTATTCTTGGTAAAACCTTTTTTGTGTGTTTTTTTGGCACTGGAGATCGAACTCAGGTCCTTACGCTTGCGGGGCAGGCGGCAGAACCACTGAGCTAAACCCCCGGGGTTGGTAAAACCTTTTTATTGTGTTTTTTTAACACAAGAAGATGAATAGTTCCTATTTCTGAAAAGAAAAAGGAGTCAAGCTGCATTTTCTTTGTCTTTAAACCTTTAGTCTGTAGGTCAACATTGCTCAAATGCTTTGTTCTCATCCTGACAGTGTTACTAAGGGAGGCACAACCCTTCTTTCCCATGTCTAATCCTAGCAGACACATTTGTGCACCCCTGCTCATTCCCTACATGTAGAAAAGCTGCCCATTAGTTGCCTCTAAAAGTGTCTTAAGAAATTGGACAATATGTTAAAAATGTGAAAACAAAAGGTGAATCTCTTTAAAAAAGACTTAACTTGAAGGTGGGAAAAAAAGATTTGTATTATCATACTGAATAAAGAGACATCTTAGTAGTCTGAAGGCCAAGCTATGTAGGAGAATGAGAAATTTGTCAAATCCCACTTTGGGGATGTGAAGAGTTAAGAGCTAGGGGAGCTTTATACAGAACTTCCAAAGATGCCTGTCTTCGGCAGTAATTTCCCATGACCTTTAGCAGCAATCTTTGTTTCTCTAAAATGGGGCTGTGGTTTCAGATCTGCCTCTCAAAGATGCTGGCAGGAATAACTTACAACTAGTGGGGGAAATTAACTTGCTTTGAAAAAAATGAAAGTGCTAAAATAAGAACAGCTTTGCCTTCGAGTCTGCTTTTGTTATTCTTACAAGAACATAGTTCATAATATATAGAATCCTTTTCTTTACATGGGGATTGGGACAGGATTTTATTTTGTCACACGCAGGGAGGCATTGTATGTGTTTGGAGCTGATTTTCCCTAGCCTGGTGATAGGTACCTACCCCTGTGACTGAGAGGGGGGCTGCTGCTCTGAGCTGTCACTTGTCACTCCCCCTCTAGACAGCTTCCTGGTTATTGGCCAGAAGCTGTTCTCTGCACTGGGGTCCACCTGCTAGGAAAATATCATCAGAATCACAGGCTCCTGTGTTCATTTGTTGATTCACTCCACAGTTTCGAGCAGCTGTATTCTGTGATTTTTCTGTATGCTGAGAACACAGAGTCAACCAAATCCTGGTCCCTGTCCTCAGAGAAATTTTAGTTAAAAACCAAGGTTATATGAAATTTCTCAAGATCGAGGGCTGATCTTTTGTCTGTTGCCAAACTTCGCATGTGTTTTAAAATATGTTTTATTGAATTAAAATTGAATAGTCAAAGGCAGTCTTCCTGGGAATCAGGACAAAAAAAGATTAAGAGACTAGTTTGATAGTCTAAGAAAGACAATTCCTTTCTCTGCAAATGTAGAAATCCACCTGTGCTCTTCCATATGCTACTGAGTGTTTTCTTCAGTCAGGAATTCTTTAAAAAGTTTTTCTATTTAAATTTAGGAGGTCTCATCTTTACAGATGTGCTCTATACAGTATGATCTCTTATTCCATTTTACTGCTTTGTCTATCTTTCGCTCTCTTTCCTAAACTGCCTTCCCAGTTTTCTGCAGCATTTGCTTTAGCTAGTGAAACAAGAAGATAGGGGAAGTTAGGCAGATAGGACGCAGGTCCTGAAGAGTTAACAGGAAGTAAACTAAAAGTCAGGCTTTGGCAAGTTAATGTACCAGAGGGTCCAAATAATTAACATGGGCAAACTGACTGTCAGGCCCTAATGGAATGCAAAGGACAAAGAGCAGGTCCCTAAACAAATGGAGAGGCGTTGGAGGAAGTGAAATGCAAACGAAGCGGCTTGCTTTCTGGAAATCAAAGGCCTACCTGCAACCACGAACATCCCTGGTCCCAGAAACTCTATAAAAGACCAACGGACTTCAACATCTACATTGTCCACTTTACGGAACCCCTCCTCAACTAGTGGGGAGCTATTCCTTTTATTCTTTCCAATAAACATCCATTTGTCCATTCCCCCACCACTTGCTACTTGCTGTTTTATCAGCTTCAATCTTCATTACCCCAAAACAGGACCCTAGAGCTAGAAGGCTCTGGTTAAACTAGGAGAAGGAAGCACAGACGCTTTCTGCACCTCCATAAACTTCTTATAAGAGGTTCAAAATTCAAGTTCCATGAGCTGTTACCAGGCCTCCTCCCAGAGTGCTTGTAGTATCTGTCCCTGTGTTTGCAGGACCCCGTCTCAGTGCTCCTCTCTGACTCCTAGGAACTCCTTCAGTTAAATGCTTGATATTTCCCCACATGGAGGGAATAACACACAGTGCAAAAATAGAAAATATTTCAGTATGGCTACAGCAGGTGTGGGACCAAGTTACCATGAAGGCTTCATATGCCATGTCAAGGTATTTGGATTTTATTCTGGATGTAATTGGGAATCATCAGAGGTCTCAAAGCAAGAAACTCATGTGATTTGATTACATGTGTTTTAAGAAGAACAGAAAAAATGTGGAGAGTAGATTGAGTTGGAAGCAGGGAGACTATTTAGGAGGCTCTTCCAAGGCCCACATGGTAATGAAGACTTCAGTAAAGTGATGGTGAAGGGCTTTAGAACCAGTCAGCCTGGGTTCGAGCCTAACTTACACCAGTTGGGCAGGGTACATACACCCTCTGAGCATCAGTTGCTTAATCTATAAAATGAGTGTGATAACAATGCCTACTTTGTAGGGTTTTTGAGAGAAGTCATTCTCTGAGAAGTGTTTAGTGCAATCCCTGACACATAGTCAGTGCTTTCAACTATTGTCTAGTAGGAGGGAGTAGAATCCTCCTTTAAGGGAGTGACAGTGGGAACAGACAAGGACCAAGTTTGAGAAATATTTAGACTTAGTGATCAACTCAATGTGGCCAGGGACAGAGAGGAAATCATAAAGGCTGGGGTTTCTATGTGGGGCAGTAGGGTAAGTGATATACGGGCAAAAGAGCTAGGGATAGAGAGAGGATGGGTTTACAGGCAAGAGTTGGGGCAAGAAAAGAAGAGATGTGATGAGGTTTACAGAGGTAATATGAAGTATTTGTTAAATATATAGATAGGGCCTAAGACAGTTGAGGATCTGAGATAGAATTGGGAGTTAGAATCATGGGACTGAGTAATATTTCTTACATTAAATGCCCAACTCAGAACAACAAAGAGGTTGAAAATTTGAAATTTATTTATCTGGCATTCAAAGTTATAGTTTTATATTCTTATAAGCCTGTATAGATTCCAATTTAAGAAGTACTAGATTTTTGGCATCGGATAAGTAAGTAGTGGAATAGAAAAACAAAAATAATTTGAAAAGAAAAGAAAACCTAAGAGGTAGGATCCTAACTCAAGATACTAACTTAGTTCCAGGGCAGATCTCTTGGGAATGGGAGCCAGAGGGAAGGTGTCCCCAGTCCAAATGGAGAACTGATCATCCTTGCCCCCACCCCAATTAGCACTCATCTCTGAAGCGCCTGATCTGTAGGGTAGGAGTGGTGGTCTCATGAGAAGTACTTTTGAAGGTTCAGATTTGGATCAGCCACGTGTGAAGGATGTAGGAAACAATACCCACCCTTTAGGAGAAGGAGCTGTTATCAGGGCCCTAGAAAGCAGGCTAGAGTTCAGGACCAGGCTTTGGTCCCATGGGAGCAACTGGATTGGAAATCAGAACACCATTGTAGAAGCACAGATTCATATAAGGTCAATAATGCTGAGGGAAAGAGATGCTGCTCAGTGGGCACAGGGAACCCAGTCTCTCACCTGGGATTCAGGGTTAGGGTCAGAAGAGCAATGCTAGATCCCATCCTCCTGTGCGAATGGGGGTCCTGGTAAGCTTGGTCAGGGCAGACTTGGGAAATGGGTGGTTTTCATCTTAAACTTTGAAACCTATAGAGCTGAGACAGTGATTCACATTTTTAGCTTTAAATCTTCACTCTGGTCTCAAAGATCCAATCAGCTGATACTTACTTGGAATTCCTCACCCTACCCTCTCCAGCTCTCCAGGTCTCTCCTTTGTGTAGAGTCCTGTTGCACCTGCACGTGTGTTCTTGCCTGTGCATGTACACACAGACACTCACACAGGGTTACTCTCCATTTTGGCCTTTTAGGAGGTTCACAAGCAGTGTGCATGGTGAGCACACTCAGACACCGCCACTGTTGAGCCCCCATTGTAAACTCTAGAATCCTGCGCAGCTTCTGCCCATTCTGCCCTGCTCAGACTCAGCATCTCACACCTGGATATCTGTGCTTGCCTAGGCCTGGGTTCCCAGCTTCACTGAAGTTGACAGACTGTTCTGTTTAGCTGTAGCAAAAGCAGCAGCGGCAGCTGCATTTATTGAGCCCTTAGTATGTATCAAGTATTGTCCTAAGCATTTAGAATAAAATGTCGTTTAACCCTCAAACAGCTCCAACTCCATAAGGCAGGTACTGTTATTCTGTTTTTACTCATGAGGAAACTGAGTTGAGTAATTTGCCTGAGGTCATGTAGCTAGGAAGAGGTAGAGCCTAGGTTCAAATTTAAATCTTCAATATCTGTCTGTAACTGTCATGCTTTATAAAAGCAAACTTTTGGGCCGGGGATGTAGCTCAGTGGTTCTGGCGCCCGCCTCGCAAGCGGAAGGACCTGAGTTCGATCCCCGGTACCAAAAAAAAAAAGCAAACTTTTCTGAGAATGTGTTTCTTATCCTTTAGAGCATGAGCTTATGTCATGGAAGACGCTAAGACTTGACGAGCCTCTGTTAATAATCAATGAAGAGAGTCCAATAGTTTGCTTGCTCAAATGACTAATCTCTTTAACAGAGAACCTACCTGGGGAGGAGGCTAATACTATTAATCATCTAATGAACAAAACCTGAAACTTAACTCTCTCAAAAAAATAAATAAATAAATAAATAATAAATAAGATTTTAAAATTGCACAACACTTTTGTGTAGCACCTGTCTCACTTGATTTTAGGTTTTATTTATCCTAGGAAGTATAGGTACTGTAATTTCCCTAGTAGAACTTCTTTTGTGAGTAGAGAAAAAGGACAGTGTGGTCAAGTACACAGTGTGTCCTGGCTACAATGATTTGCTATCCAAGCTCAACCTGCTAATTGAGGTTATCTCACCTCTCTGGTCCATTTTTTTTATCACCTGAAAAATTCAGGTGTGAATAAGGACTTGAAGAATTACAAGTTAGAAGTTAGTGTAAATAAATGAACGCAATAGAATCTAAGGTGAAACTATAAAAAAATTTGTTTCCTAATCCAGCTGTGTGAGTCAGGGAGCACAAAATCACCCACAAAAACATTTGGAGTGGTGAGGAGAAGCATAGGAATAGAGCTTCCAGATGGAACTATCTGCCCTGTGATGGAGTTAATCAACATAGTGTAGCTATAATCAAGACCTGGTAGTGGTGGACCGTCACTGGGATTCAGGAGCTTCTGGATGGGAAGGAGGGGAAGGCAGGAAAGGCAAGGGAAGGTAAGTATTTGAGATCTGCTCTTTACCTGTCACAGGGTCCCCTTATTGAGTCAACTCTGACAGCAGCTAATGAGACACTGTTTATTAATGACCCTTGGAATAGTAATTATAATGCTCATTTTATTGGTGAGGAAAATGAGTCTCAGACTGCTTCATAGACTTCATTAAGACTCCACCACTAGTATATTGCCAGATGATATTCAAATCCCTGCCTATTTGGTGCCAATGCTATTTTACTATACTGTGCTATCTATGACTCATTTAACTAGTTTCCTCTGCAGAGTTCTAGAAATTCTCATATTAATAGTAATCACTTGCTCATTCATTCCTTTATTTATGCATAGGTAGCTATTAAGCGGTACATGGAAGGTTTAAAACATTTTGAGATTTGAAACATCTCAAATACTCTGATGTGTTCACTTCCAAATTCCACAGAACTCTGAAACCTTTTTCTCCTAACAGAAATTAGAAATTAGGTTTTCATTTTGCTTTTCATTGAAGAGACACTGACTGAAAATTAGAAGGCAAGAGGAGTATGATGTCTTGCCTGTGTCTAGGGAGCTTGAGTAAAGAGGCATATTCCTAAGTAAATGTGTTGGAGCTGCAAGAGTGAGTTTGCTTTGTAGGATGTTATTGTGCACATAGGACAGGGGACATCTAGTGGGAAGCAATTCTGTCTTGCATGTCCCAAGTTCTAGGGTGACCCTGTCACCCTGATCTACCTGAAGCTGGCTTGGTAGCCTCCTGCATTCAATTCAAAACTTTTTTTTTTATGTTTTCATAACCTTTTTTTCTGCCTGTCATCACAATTCTACTTCTGCTTCTAACAGAAGTTTCTAAAGTAGAAAGTCTTGACTCTCCTATTCAACTAAGGAAGTATGTTCTCATTGCTTGGAATTTCTAGATCCAATCATTGAGTTCATATAGACCATTGGTCCCTCACACATACCCCTGATCTTTCATTCACTGAAATTTTTCCTTTCGTTTTTGGTCACCAAGCCTCAGGTTGGATCTTTGCACCACTTAAACTTCTCATCTGCTTTTGAGATCCTTTTTTTTCTTTTCTATTACCCTTCAAAGCTTTTGAACTCAGTCTTCTGCTTTTGATCTGAAATCCCTGATTTCTCTCAGACTTCATTTCTCTTTTATCTCTGTCCTCTTTACTTGGTCACCAGCTGGAAGGGAAGTCACTTCTAGAAGTCATACTTCTTTGTTTCATTGTCATTATTCATCAAATTTTTGTTGAGTACCCACGGGCTTTATAAACCAGAGCAGCAAGATAAGACGTACTTCTTGTATGAAAAATAAATAAACACAGGCAAAATTATTACAGTAAATGTCTACAAGAGGACACTAGAGGTAGTGATGGGCGAGAGGAGGAAATGATGGACTGATTGGTTATAGCAGGCTTTATGAGAAGGACCCTTTCAACTGGGTTTTGAAAGGTAAAAAAGTTTCCAAGGGGAAAAGTGAGGAAAAGCATTACAGAAACAGGAAACAGCATGTGCAAATCCTGGAGGTGTGCAATAATAATAATAACTTGGGGAAACTGATGCTATTTGATGCTATTTAATATTTTTGGAGCTTGGGCTCAAATAGAGGTGTTTCAAAGAGGTGGGATGAAGGCATAAGGGGAACTAAATGATGGAGCACTTCAGATGCCTTGCCAAGAATTTGGGTCTTATCCTGAGAGGCATGCAGGATGAGTGAAGAGTTTTAAGAAAGAGAGCCAGAACAGTGAGATTTAGAAAGATTATCTGAACTATAGCAAGGAGAATGTACTGTATGCTGATGGACTGAGTGTGAGGAGATCAGACAAAGGAGTATTGTAATATAAGTAAGAAAGAAAGAGGACCTAAACAAAAGCCATAGGAGTGGAGTTAAGGAGGAGAGAAGAAAATATTAAAGAGATCAATTTGACTTTACTTAATAACTAGTTAAATACAGGGGTCAGTGTAGGTTTCTGGACAAGGCAGCCAAATGGATATTGATGCCATTAGTTATAATGCCATTAGTTATGATGAACAGGTCAAGGAAGTGAGGAGGAAAGGTGTGACCACGTGGTGGGAGATGAGGTTCAGGATGCAGATACTGCTTGGACATGTTTCTTTTGTCTTGCAGCCATGGTTGAAGCCCTTCAGGTCACAGTGCCTGACAAGAAGAAAGTGGCTATGCTCTTCCAGCCCACTGTACTTCGCTGCCACTTCTCCACATCCTCACATCAGCCTGCGGTCGTGCAGTGGAAGTTCAAGTCCTACTGCCAGGACCGCATGGGGGAGTCCCTGGGCATGTCCTCCACCCGAATCCAATCTCTCAGCAAGAGAAACCTGGAGTGGGACCCATACTTGGATTGTTTAGACAGCAGGAGGACCGTTCGGGTAGTGGCTTCAAAACAGGGCTCCACCGTTACCCTGGGAGATTTCTACAGGGGCAGAGAGATCACGATTGTTCAAGGTACTAATGTCCTTGCCTTGAATCTAGGAAATGGGAGGGAGGTTAGTTCCATTCTTCCCAGACATGGGGCAATGTGAGTCACCCTTTCAGCCCTTCAAGAATCCAATTTTATTGGAGATGGGAGCATTAAGAACCCTAGCAAATTGCTTTAGTGGAATGGTGGGGGGTGAGAAGACTGGACAGTATAGTATGTGGTGAAGACAGAAACAACCCTTGGAATAGTCTTTCCGGACCCTGACCTTGAATCTGGGAGCTTGTTTTCAGAATTAAATGAAGTGAGTGCTAGTGAGAGAACTTCAGTCAAACATCCTACATCTTGGTGTCACTTTATGGTCCTTTCCCAAACCTGAAAAGGCAGAATTTGCTAAGAAGTTCCTCTGCTGGGAGAAGGGATGCATGCTTGGAAGTTACCAAGCCAGGAAGATACATGCCCTGAGCCCTCAGGGCTTTGTATCAACTCTACCCTTTCTCCTGGTTCCTAAATTTTGGATAAGAAAAGGTCCCAAGAGTCTGATAGGACCTATTTGATTATTCAAATTTTGAAGATTTCCTGTGAAGTCAGTTTATTTCCAGGAGTCCATAATTACTCTGCAAATTATCTGGCTGTCATGGGTCTCTGCAGGCCCAGTTCAAAGCCATCATCTATTCCTGAAGCTGGATGAGATCAATTTGTGGCTGTGTTCCCATTTTCTCACTTCATGGATGCTACTTTTTGTTATTTTGTTGGTTTGGTTTTATTAAAAAAGCAAACATCTTTAAACCACCATGCAAGTGAAGAAATAGAACACAGCAGACCCTACTAGGTCTGACCCTCCCAAACCCCTCATTGCTCAATGCTTTTCTTTCCCAGGACAGAATTTTAGAACTGGGTTCTTTTATGTGTGTGTGTGTGTGTGTGTGTGTGTGTGTGTGTTTGTGTGTGTGTGTTTGTGTGTGTGTTATGTGATAACAGATGCAGATCTTCAAATTGGAAAACTCATGTGGGGAGACAGTGGACTCTATTTCTGCATCATCACCACCCCTGATGACCTGGAAGGCAAAAACGAGGACTCGGTGGAACTGCTGGTGTTGGGTAAGTGAAAACCAGAGGCAGCATTTCCATCTTAGATGGCTTGCATTGTGTCCCTCTCACACCTCCTTGCTGTGTGCATTGGCAGGTTGCATACACAGCTGTTATCTTCTGTGTACTGATAAAACTGTTTGAGAGTATGCTTTTTCTGAGCAGTAGCTTATTTGTAGTGTCTCGTTCTTAAAGGCAGTGTCCCTACCCTTGTAGCATTGTCCCAAGGTTTCTTCTGATTTCTTAGTTGTTTTCTCCTCCATTCTACTTTAACCTATAAGCCCGATTTCTCTCTTATGTTTTACTTTTCATTTTATGTGCTAATTGTTAAAGAAAATGCGAGAGGCCTTTGAAATAGGATAGAGACTAAGGAAAAAGAAGAATTCACTGGTGTGTAAGCATCACTAGAGACTTCAGGAATCTGTTCCTGCTCTGCTTACGGTAGTCGTAAGGCAAGATGGCTGCACACTGGAGAGTCGAGTAATAAAAGGTGCCCGGATGAACAGAGCTGTTTGGGAGATGTTCTTGTCTTTAACTGGAGGGCAAATCTCCGGAAATCTAAAAGTGAGTTATGCTCAAAGCAAATACATCTAATTCTTTTTTTTTTTGGTACCGGGGATTGAACTCGGGTCCTTGTGCTTGTAAGGCAAGCGGCAGAACCACTGAGCTAAATCCCCAGCCCAATACATCTAATTCTTATTAATGTTAATATCTTCATAACTGAAAACCCCTTACTTTTGGCTGTTTTTCATCTTTCATGGATTGGAGAAATGTTAGTGGGAAATGACCTTCTTGTATGAAACTGAAAATGTGACATACATTTTGCACTCTATAACTGTTCATTGAATAAGAAAATTATAATACAGTCGGGTGTGGTGGTACATGTCTTTAATCTTAGCGCTGAGGCTGGGGTAGGAGGATCATGAGTTCAAGGCCAGCCTGGGCTATACATAGTGAGACTCTGTCTTTAAAAAAATCTAAAAGAAACAACAACAGAAAATAAGAAAATTAGAATAAAACATACAGAAATCAAGAAAAAAAACTGGATCGATTATAGAAGAAAAGGAAATCGAGGATATATATTTGAAGTCATTCTTCAAAATAAATTACATAAGGGCCAGGGATTTAGCTCAGTGGTTCCGGTGCCTGCCTCCAAAGTGCAAGGTCCCGAGTTCGATCCCCAGTACCAATAAATAAATAAATTACATTTTTTTCGCACTTCCAAAAAATCAGCTGACAGCAATTGGGGGCATATGTAAAAGTCCCCTGTTTTGAAGGCAAATGAGTTTGAAGGCTGATTTTTACCCTTTGTGTGAAACTCAATCCCCAGGGAGAAAGTGGCATTTTCTACAGAGAATTTTCAGTTTTAGTCTTTATCATGATTGCATGGCTTTGGCAAAACAACTGTTCTGATGCTTTAGCATTACATTTTACAAATTGGACTGAGGTAAATTGGGCCATCTTATTGAAAGGTTGACTTCAAGCAAACATACTGTTTGGTTCCAATATATAAAGTATAACTGCTGTGACTTGTAGAAGAAACAACATATGACATATTCAAAAGGAAATAGGAATGTAAAAGGTTTATATTGCGTTGTACAAGAACACAGGGAGATCAGATTTGAGATCTGCTGTGGCTTTGTAAATCAGAAGGGAGTAAAAAAGATAAATTTTGGCTTAATCACATAACTCTAATAGCCGAGTCTGCGGGAACAAGTGGCTCATTGAGCCTGCAATTAGCTAATTGTGAACACAGTTATTTGGCCAGGGCAGCCATGTGTGGAGAAGTGATTGTCTGTGCAGGAAAAGGAGGCCAGGTAGAAAACACATTAAATAATTTGGTCCTGGTTGTCTTGCATCTAGGGGAAATGAAAAGAATGAAAGCTTTGCCAGGCGAAGTTCCTCTGGATCTAAAAATTCAGTGCAGATTGGGTTGAGGATGCTGTTTGGGAGGCCAGGAAGGGTCGGTTTCTGGGGGGGTGAAAGGAAGGCTCAGATGCCAGTGGTCTCAGTGATGGGAAGAGAGATGAAGAACAGAAATCAGCATCACTCTGAGAAGAACTGTACAGGGAAACTGGGAGGCCTGCAAATCAAAACTCATCACAGCAGAAACAGTGGCAGGGTTCTTGTGGGAGAAAAACATGACTCTGCGATGTTCCACATTAATTAGAAATGTTCAGAGTGTGATAAATTTGTCATGGAAACGTTTTAGGGAAGACTTGTGTTATTTAAAGGGCTTAGTTTAAAATCTATGAAAATTTTCTGGGTGTAAGAAGTATAAATACAAAATTCTGAGTCTTGTTTGTCTTGACATCCCTTTAGAAAATGTTTCAAAATACTGTCACAGTTTTAAAAATTCAAACTGTTTGGTTGTTATATCCTGCAGGCCAAGGATATATATGCTGTTAGGTATTCCTTTTTATGTGAAACTGGAGAGCAGCCTGATTTCTGAGGTCAAAGCCAAGGCAATGGAGGTATGAGTGGGAAGACAACTGGAGTCCACAGAGTGTCAATTACAACATCCACGAGCCACTGGCTCAGTCACTGAGTTTTGCACAAGGAATGGTTAGAGGATTTGTTCTAGTGAAAGAGGCTTAGAGTGAAGAACGTGGGAAGTGTCTCCAAATGCCTGAAATGAAATTGTTTACAAGAGGGGTTGGAAACACTGTCTGGCTAGGTCCAACTAAATTAGGAGTGGAAGTTACAAGGGGAGGGAGTTTTGTCTCAGTGTATAGGAAGAATTGATTTTTTTTTTTTTTTTGCAGTACTGGGAATCAAACTCAGGACCTTGGGCTTGTAAGGCAGGCATATTGCCAATGAGCTAAATCCCCAGCCCAGGAAAACGTGTTAACTGGAGATGTCTAGAGATGGAAGGAATGTTCTAAGGAGTAATGAGTCCTATGTTCCTGGAGGTATTCAAGAGGGTGGAATGTTTCTAATCAGAGTTATTATATAAGGAAGTTATGCATAGGAAAAGGTACTCAACTAAGTTACCTTTGAGGTTTATTTGAATTCTAAATTTTTGGATTAAAAGCAGATAAAAAGGCATGGTGATGAATAATAAAATGACCTCCAAGGACCCAGTCTTCATCATAGACAGACAAGGGTGCAGGTTGGTTAGAAGACCATAGTGGGTGATGATCATGCACAAGGAAGCCAGTGAGAGTGAGCCGTGGTCTAGTACAGTGGTCAGAGCTAACAGGACTAATTTCACAAAGAGTGAAGAAAAGAAACTCTTGATAATAGCTTGAGTGAGTCAACCACTTTATCTCTTCTTGGAAATGATCACAAAGTGGGGAGCAGAAAACTGGTGTGAATTTCAGATGATGAAATATAAGGAACGATGAGTTGAAGAGATAAATCAGAGGCAATTATAAGAAGAATTTAGTTTCCTCATTTTACTTAGAAAGGTGAGGATGGAAAAGTTAATAGGGCAAGATTATGACATATTGTATATATAAGACTAAGAAGTTTGGACTTCCTCCTGAAAACTCTTGGGGAGTCAGGGAAGAAACTTTAACAGAGGAAGATTAGATCTCCAGTTAGAATGATAGCAGTAGGACAGGCCATGTAACAGGGAGGGGAGCCAGAGGAATGGGATGGTGCAGTAGCAGAGGTAAAAAGTAGGAGATGCTGCACCAGAGTAGGGAACCAGAGCAGACAACAGGTTTCTGAGATAGAAGCAATGGGAGTTGGTGTCTCATGCATAAAAAGAAAATGAGAAAGGGATGAATCAAACAGGATACCATGATTTCTGATTAGTTATGTAGCCAGCAATTTCATCAACTAAGAAAGAGGGCGAGGTAGAAAAGCAAGTTAGGCAGGCAAGAGAATGAGTTTGGCTTCGTGGCATATAAGACGCCTGGGACACCAAAGTGAAGATGCTTTGCCAACAGTTGGACATGTAGGTCTGGAGCTCAGTGCAGAGTGAAGTTTAGAGATAATGGACTGAAAGTCAAAGGTGATAGATAGGCAGAGTCACAAAAGAATAGATGAGTCACCCAGAAAGATAATATAAAGTGAGCAAGGGCAAGAACAGAAGGGATTGGTTTCACATTCTAAGTTTACTTCTTGTGAGTCATAACATTGTTACTGCATGTGAACTCATCTTGATTTCCTCCACAAAATGGGACCCTTTTATAGCACTGGACTATGAACTCTTCAGAGTCAAGAACCAATTCCTGTTCATCTATCTATCTGCAATGTCTAGCAGGGTGTCTAGAATAAAGACACCTCAGTGAATGCTTTTTAAATGACAAATGGGCAGAATCTCTAGCTAATACTTAACTTTGCACCTTTGAAATGCTATCAATGTTGGGTATGTATTTGTTGACTATAAATGGTCAACACAATAAACATCCACAGTCTTGAGTGATAGAACATGGTTTAATCTCATTGTTCATAATCATCTGGTTATTTGAATTTTTACTAGTGATAGATCCATCAAAGACTATGGTGGAAAGCAACAGAAGTAGGTTCTGGTTATTATTTAAGCAGAAAAGGAATTCATTGAAAGGCTATCAAAACTGAAAAAAGACTGGAGAATGGGTCTCAGGAAAAGATAGTATGTTAGGGAAGCACTTGTTAGCTTCTACACAAACAATCCTCAGATATCAGTGACTTAATCTCCTCATAGTCAGATGTGGGTTAGGAGGCTCCCGTAGGTAGCTCCTTTCCAAGTGAGGGTGTAGAACTGCAGACATCTCTATTGTTTGGCTCTACAGTATTGGAGACATTTGCTTCTAGTTGCAGAAAGAGAGACAGAAAAAGAGAGAAGAAGCTCATGTGGACTTTTTAGTAGCCAGATCTGGTATTGACAAGAGATGATCCAAGGTCTAAGCAGCAAAAATTGATGGACAGTATCTTTAGGGTTCCATTGCCAGGAGA